GGCTACTCATAGTATTTGGCATACTCATATAGTTTAGTTCTTTAATTTGTTTATTTTCTTTGACAAAAAACATTGTTATATGCCCATAGTCATGATATGCCTATAGGCCTACGTAAATATATTATGTATAGAGCCTATGGTCATGTTATATTGTCATGACCATATTCAGGCATATCACATGTTTTTGTCAAAGAATATTTGATAGCTTGGACCGGCCTTTATTAGACATGATATTATGCAGGATTTGATCCCAGGACACTGGGAATGCTTTCTCACTACCACCGCTCAGTGCTGCTAATGTCAATTTACATCTTATTCGTAGATGTGGAGTATTGTCCAATAGCCCCACATATATTATTTTACTGTTTAATGTGAATACATTAATATTCCATCCATTGCATTGCTAGTAGCCAGTGTACTGTAGCTGGAATTTGCAATCAACATTACTGTCATGCTTCCACTGCAACCAAGCAGACGCTAGGCAAGACCTTGTTTGTTATACCATAAATTATTTGACTCATTTTACTGAAGATCTGAATCTTTTTAAATTATTTTTTAAACCTCTACTGCTCGTGTGTGTGCAATTAGACACTTTTCTATTCCCTTCTGTAAGTTGTGATAAGAGTAAATCTGGTTGGTTGGATTCGATGTCGAATGAATAAAACATGTAGGCTGCTGGCACCTTGACCTCTGATGATTAGTGCCTATCAAAAATGTTTATAAAAACGTATGCAATAATAACAAAATGCTTATTATTGTAGATTTTCTGTATATATTTCAGCCTCTCCGAGTTTCTTTCCTATTCTTCTTTTTTTATTCTTCTAAATTTTGCATTTTTTAATGCACAATGAACAGACTATAATTACACATACTGTACATTCATTATGATAAGCTTATTTATAAATGTACACCTTTTCATGTTTTACAGTTAGATTCTATGTATACAGAAGTACAGTATGTCCTTGTTCCAACCCTTTAATGTATTACTATTGGAGAGGCTTATCTTCATAAGACTTCTACAAATGGATACCTTGTTTGCAGCAAGAAATCAAGCTGTCTTTACCAAGTATCGCTCATATATTTTATTCGTGTGGGAAGTCCTTAACTTTGTAATACCCCTTTTACACTATCAGCGGAAATATGGAAAAAATGCTTTTCTGTATTATCACAAAGTTGTCATCTACAGAGGGGCTACAGTATATACTGTAATATCAGATTTAATTTCTAAATGAATTTAAATTGTATTCAGCTAAATTACTTGTAGCTAGGTTTGTATTTATTTAAATTTTGGTGATTCACTACTGTATGTAGTGTAATATGTGACCTACATTGACTGTTTGACAATTAATAAAAAGTTATGATACTATAAAATAGCTTCTCGTCAGTATCACAGTAGCAGTCAGCATACATTTTAGCATAATATAAAGAAGGTATATGATGGTGGTCCCTGAATGTTTGTCAAATGCGGAACTCCTATTCTAGTGAGTGATCCCTTAACAATTCTTTAATAGGGATTATTAACAATTTGTTTACTGTATTTCTTGCTCAAAATAATATGTGGCAAAGACAAGCCAAACCAGTCACTAAAGAATCATTTAAATCCGACATTTCGTTATGAAGTTAGAAGCTTTTAAACATACAGCTGTTTAAAGAGCAATATTTGATAAATCGACCTTCAAAGTTTATGATTTTGGGCATTTTAGGCAGAAACCATCATCAAATTGTTAAAAAATGTTGTTTTAACATTGAAAATGGGGAAAATAACAGCATGATGTATAGATATATAAAAGTTAGTTTAGTTCAATAAAATAGATTTCACAAATTTTGACATTTCAGCATGTTTTGACCATTATCTCTGAAACATGATTTGTGACGAGTGACTGGTTTGTCATTGTGTTTGCCACATATACAGTACAGGTGTATAAAGAATTGTTAATCATTAAATTTCTTGGCTATTAAATATTAAACTCAAAGTCAATGTAACAAAGAGCATTTAATATTTCATTATTTTCTCATATTTTTTTTATCTATTTAAAGCTGTTAGTGTCATTAATAAACATTGAAAAGGCTAACAAAAATATGAAAATATTTGAAACAAAAAAAGTTATCAATTATATGAGATTGTGGTAAAAATATAAATGAAATAATAGCTCACAAATATTTTAATTTGAAAATAATTAATGTATTTTTTAATCTTCAAAATTGTATAAAGTATAACTAATAGAAAAAAAATTACAATTGGCTAAGTATTTGGATTTGGATTTAATCGGTGTAAACACCAAGGATTGCCCACAAAAGTCTAGAACAAGACTTATTTCCAGTGAGGTCCTTCTGGTGGTGATTGGGCAGTACACCAGGAGACAATCCCCTACTCTTTTCCGAAGAGTGTACTGCATTCTTTAAAGTGCACATGGGCCATAATGCACACAGGACCAATGGCTTAAAAGTCTCATTCGAAAGACGGTGCGCTATTGTAACTTGTATTTCAGCCCTCTAGCTGAAACACAAGGCGAGGTAGCGATGGGACTAGAACTAGGGACCTTGAGATCTCAACGGTTCAGCGCACACACAGTGGCTACCAACAGATTAGCCGACTGAGCTAAGCTGCTCTCCGAAATTTCATAATTTTCCATCTTCACATTAGTCACTTAATTAAACTTCATCCAGATTTACAGTAACTACGGTATAATAATAGATAAAATTTACAATATAGTATTGCATAATTATCATTGGTGATTACAGTATAAGTTAGCAGTGCCATCAGCGAAATGAATAATAAGTATTTGATGTATTTTTTAATCCCCAAAATGTATTATAAGAAGAATAGAGAAAATTTACGCAACAGTATTGCATAATGTCATTGATGATTATAAGACAACTGTGCTAGAGTGATATGGTCTCCCTCTTTGCATTAATCACTCATTTAAGCTTCGACCAGATTTACAGTATTCAAAGAAAAGATATTAAAACAAAAGTTAAAGTTCAAGTTTGTGTATTTTGATTTGATTTATAATTCATTTCCTCAGTGAGTGAAAGTGTGAGAAAATTTTTCCCGAAGGCCCTTAGGCTTCCACAGTGAGGTGCCAGCACCACGGGTATATGTCTCCCCCCCCCCCAACTTGCCTACAATTTCTGAAATGTTTTAAAATATGAAAAATATGAACAAAACAGGTATATATATAGCACCTTTGTTGACTAAAAACGGTTTGTCTGATACATGAGATTGCGGTAAGTCCTTCAGTAGCTGTACAGTATATTCAACAGGTGATGAATTTAACAACATTATTCATTAATCATTGTGGTAGTTACATGCAGTACCGTCATCTTAATATTTGATCAATAGAAGTACGTCGGTAAAAAAAAAAATGATTATACTTCCCTGGAAAAATTACATATTAACTATACATAAAGCTTATGTGTATGGTTCAAATTTTTAATAATTATAGTTGCTTTGGTAACAAAGGGACAACATATATTATGGAAAATTTTAGAATATTAACATTGTGTAATTGACATCAAATATTGGATGTATGTTATTTATATTTAAATTTATATAATAATTTAAATCTACATTATTAAACCTTACATTGTTACAGCAGACGTTGTATAACAGCAATGGAGAATTATATAACAGGCGACAAAATGTCAATAGACCCTTTTTTGTAGTAACCATTAAATAAGTACATTAAGTTTACTACTGTATAACAAATATCCTTTACAATAATGAATATCCTAGATCTGTCTGAGTAGGATTTAATAGGGTGATATGTTCTTGATCTGTTAAAATGTAATTCTTTGTGCACTGGTAGTCTATGTAGACATTAACAGATCAATTTCCTTGAAAGCACGAGTACAGTACTACAGTGAGATATCGTTGATGTTAACATAATCACCTATTTGCTCTACAGGCTGATTAAATAACAAATGTCCATCTTATTGCTCAGAATTACTTGCAAGAACTATACCAGAAGAAGAGTAATATTGTATTTTGCTAAATAAAGAGAGAAAGATTTGCTATGACCTACTGTAGGTCAAATTGCTGGAATTGCTGTTTTTTTTATTTATATTTTAGCGTCAAATGTATATAATTTGATCGTGATAATGTTCATATTGAGCATTCTAAGCCTGTGGATAATAGACCTACTGATATGTTGCGGTTTATAGCTAAGCCGGGCATGCACTGAATGGTCATCGGCCATCGACCAACACAATTTCATAGAATATGCAATGCGTCAAGGCATACACTACAGATTTTTTTTTTAAATGGCAATGCACAAATGACGCCATATTGTCAAGCGCTTGTCGGCCGTCAGACGTACGACAGATGCACGACAGTTGTACAGTATGACCTAATGTGAGCCCAGATTTATAGTACCATGTGTTCAGTAATCCCACAATTTTTAAGCATGTTTGAATAAGCATTTATACTGAGTACTTTTGTCAGAAAAGTTTTCATTAAATAGGGCAGTTTTTTTTTTTTTTGTGGCAAACAGCTAAGTTTATGATTATGAATTTGTTTCAGTGTCAGGATAAAAAATTATCATCAATGTTTCCATTCTTTTTTTTTTTGTACCTAATAAATGTTTTGTATGACAGGCTGAGTGTGGAGTTGTGTAAGCCACCTGTCTTATAAAATACCTTATAATACACAGACTTATCAGGGAGATTGATGGTAAAAAGGTCAAATAGTTGGCAATGATGTTTTGGAATTTATATACTTCCTTTCCATACTGTAACTTCCAACTCTGGAATTGATTGACTACAGTATTTCTGAAAGATACATAACAAAACTAATTAATCATATTATCACATATATTACTATATTCAGTTCAAACATAAGGTTTAAAAAATATATTTAACTATTATTAATAATTATAACAGAAAATTGTTATAATTTGACAGTGTTACCTATTCCATATTTTATTTATTTTCCAATGTTTAAAATACATTTTTATGAAGTAGAAATATTTTACTAATTATTGTTATTTTTTATATTGTAGTTTTACCTGCAGGATACCAAGAGCAGCAATGGTACATTTGTGAACAACCAACGTCTCAGTAAAGGCTCGGAAGAAAGTTTACCGAAAGAGATAAATTCCGGCGACATTATACAATTTGGAGTAGATGTCATGGAGAATAAAGGAGCAAGGGGAGTCAGTAAGTATGATAATGTATGTTAGACAAGTTGTATAGTACCAACAAGGCTCTTGACTTTATTACTGCAAGTCATTGGATCAATCACATAATATAGAACACATTCTCCATCCTGTGGGGAATTCCATGTTATTTGTTTTTTTGTTTGGTATATAGTGTTTTGTATAATCCTTTTGATTACAAAGCGCTTTGTTTTCCCTGTACAATGGATCCACATGCTTACAGCTATCTTGGTTTCCTGCGTATCAGTCCCCGACGCAATCGGGAAGGCTCCACGATTTATCAACCAATTGGCTATCTGTGATAGCGTGTAGTGATTGTATTGTATGGAAACCAAGCTTAAGTGTTGCTGCCATATTGGCACAGTAGCAGGCAACCGCACCAAATACCCATACTCCTGCGTGGAGAGAAGCATCACAGATAAAGTGACTTGTTCAAGCACAAAATAGCGAACTAGGCACAGCAACTACGAGGTTGGGAAACCAAACCGTTCCCTGCTGTACCAAACACCTCTCACAAATGTTGCAGTGTTCAGCGCATTTCGTGTTTGAACCTAGTAGGTACCCACTTGTACTCCTGGGTGAAGAGAGACAACCATACACAGACACCAGCATTGTGCACAGTGAGGGATTGAACCGCAACTGCTGTGCCATACCTCTCATATATTATCGCCACTTGCTAACTCACTCACTCATTTACAGTCATCTATACTATTAGTCACTCACTATTAAGTAACACACATACTGTACTGCTGTATCAGTGCACAATTTATTACACTCAAACCAGACATTCTAACCCCCAATCATTCAAAAAGAGGATCTGTATCATTCTAGAATGCGTGACATTACTGTATGTTCAAACACGAATCTTTGGGGTGGGGTAGTATCACCTTGAAGCCAATGTTAATACATAATCTTATTAGTCCAATAATTACAATGATTTCTTCAAAATTAGCTTATACCCCTATTCGGACCTACACAACATTTGTTGTGATTCATTGTGATCGGATTTTGTGGTATTTGGGAGTAATAAAGATTGTAGCACCCAATCGCAACAAGTAACAATTGCGATATCGATTACTTATTGACTACTACTGTATTGTTGAGCTTCCACGCGCAATTATACTTTGCGATTGGGTGTCGCAATTGCTGCAACCGATCACAATGCGATGCTAGTCTTAATGGGGTATAAGTGTTTTCTCTTGGGGATTCCATCTTGGACATCCATCTGAGGACCCAGTCATCCATTGCACTGCAAATATTTATCTTATTTTTTTCCTCAAGAGCCACCTTTGTATGTATCTTGGAATGAATGCACTAGAGTGGCAGCAGATGGGGATTCTTTGGAGATTGTGTGTTTTATTATTTTATTTTTTACGAACATTCTTAATTTTGTGTGGAAGTGCCTAGAAGCTACTATATTGCTGCATAGTACTATATAAATGTAACTATTGTTATTTATAATGTAATTAGTAGTTCATAGTGTATACTATATGAATACACTATAAATAATTCCCACATTATCTGTAGGGTGCAGCATATTATAATGAATAATTTAACCGCGAGTCAACCAAAGGTCATGATAAGCCACTGTATCAATATATTATTTATCATCTACTGTATTTTCTCTATTCAGTTTTAAGTATCTACCTTGTTAAAACAATCTGCTTAATATATGAAAGGATTTTGTAATTATTCCAAATAAAAAAAATTTGAATGTAGTATTATTTTCCCTCATAGTAGTCTCACATAATTTACGTACGTAGGCTACGCTACATCACAGTACTATGCATGTTATGTTGAGCAAGTGGCCTTTGTGAGAATCATTCATTTATACAAAGACTGGTAGTGATGATTAATTAGACATGCAAGGCAATTGTGTTAGATATTATTAAGCAAGTCTTGCAACATCCTTCTTATGTACTGTAGATATATTTTCAATTATGAATTTAATTATTTTAAAAAAATTCTGAGTATCATCATTATTTATATTTTCACTAATTGCAGGTTTATTCCGTGGATTATTGTCAGATATTATTTTTATAACTTTGCTCTAATGCAGATTTTTATTTACTGTATTTATTCGAATAAACACGCTGATTGTTGAGAGGGGTTTTGGGGCGGGTGATTATTCGAGGGAGGCGTTTATTATTTTTGTTGTAAAATGGATAAGTATACTCAAGTAAATGCCACTTAATATTCTTACTGTAAAATGTGCAACTGCAACACATAATTACTCTATTGCCAAAATTTGTTGTTGTGTGATTATAAAGACTTCAATATTGATCCCAACCAGCTTAGAAAAAATGTAATTCTACTGGAGTAAACAGTAATAGAATGAGTTTAGAATGATGTTGATTCCATTTAGTTTTGTTTGCAGTTATTTTGGAGGCGTTTAAAATTGAAGGAAAAATAAACAAGGCCTTTTAGAGGGGGGGAGTTTATTCAAATAAATGGTATTTCAAAATTCAATTTGATTTTCAGGATATACTGTATCAATATATGGAATTGAACAGAGGCCTACAGTAGTTCAGACTAGGTGGATAAATCCGGCTCAACTCACCGGGTTTATCCACCTGCCAGTCTGAACTAGGTGGCTTATCTCAAGCCGGGCTGTGTTCCTATAGTAACTAGGCCTGGCGCGCCACCGTGTTTAACTTTTCTAAGCCGGTCTTTAAACGTTGTGGGGGGGTCTTGCATTGACTTCGGGTAACAAAATGACCAATCAGCATTCAATTACGTACGCTGTGAGCGAGTGTACATTCTGCAAGTAATGTTTTGAAACACGTTTCCTGGTTATGGTTCATTGTTATGCAAATTCTTGCCTGGTTAAACCCACTAGTCTGAACGCCCGGCAAAGTTAAGCCAGGCTTAACGTTGAGTCGGGCTTAACTCAAGCCTGGCTTATCTCCAAGTTTGAACGTAGCCTAACAGTATTAGCAAATGTTTAAACTGCAAAAAAATGCATTTGACACCTGTATGTTAATTGCAAATTTTATTAATTTCACAGTTACCCATGGCTGCATTGTAGCCACTCTGACACTGTATCTCCCAGATGGCAGGGAAGCTATACGTAGGTAAGCATTTTCTAACCCTTGAAGGTTATTTAATTATTAATTTCCATCAATGAATTTAAATGGAGATAGTATTACACTACATAATTGTTACTATTGTACACAAAAAAGAAGAATAAAGAAGATAAAAATTTTTAACGCCAGGCTGATTTTTCTGAGACACAAACACAGTGTTTGTTGGAAAACTCTGGAACACGTTTAATGATAAGACATATTTTGGAATATTTTTATATGTATATTTTTTTTTTCATCCTGAGCCAGTTTTTACATAATTTTAAATTTCTGTTTGTCATTATAGTCCAAATGTGATAGCAGTAAATCCCTACAGTGAGCTGACCCTAGCCAACAGTACTGTCAAATCTCAGGACCTTTTTCAAATTGCAGAGTATCTGAAGGTAAGTCCTGTGAAAGTAAGTGGCTATGCTTTCGGTTTCCAGGATCCTAGGCCAGTTGATCTTTTGGGATTGTTGATCAAACTTACTACGACCAATCAGAATGCGTTATTAACACTCTAACCGCTTAGGTTTTGAATAGTGTCAGCCACCGCCAGCCTCATTAGCAAATGTTAACACTTTTCTTAAGCTTGTTGAGAGTGCGTACTGTATGTGATCAGATTGACATGTAGTGAATACTACAAGAGCTACAAACATTTTGGCTTTACAATGGTACCAAACACTTTATTCTTTGTGCCCAGTAACAGTAAAACGAAAATGACTGACTTTTGGAGATTTACGCAATTTCGCACAATGGAGCCTAGATAATCGCGATTTCGTGAAAGTAAAGCAATACCACACTACGCTAATGTAAACAAACAAATATTGAAATAATTACGGTCCAGACGGAATATAGTGTTCAAATTGTTGGTACTTGTCGGTAATTAGCCCATCTGTGGGATTCTGTGAAAAAGCCTAAAACATGGAGATCTTCATGTTTGGTGGTCAAGCATTGCGTTACCAAACTCGGAGATCTACGTATTTGGCAGGCAGAGTGTTAATAGGGTCAGGAACAAAAGTAGAGGGTTTATGTACGTTTACACTGTCGTTTTGTGGGATTCTTGCAAAAGTATCCAATAGGCAGTGGGTCCATGAATTCTACAGTACATTTTCTCGTAGGTTTCAACATCCTAGCTTCAATTCCACCAATTTTTTTCTTACAGGTTACTGGGTCCCAATCTATTTCTTTTTTCATAGGCTTAGGGTTTTTTTTGTAAATTACCAGTAATCAAATTCTATACTTGTTTCAGAAACCTAGTTTTTACACTTCTCATGCTTTGTGTTGTGATTATTGGTCTAATTTTATGTTTTTCATAGACTGGGCTTTCAAAATATGTTTATTTCTATGTTTCTCCATGGTTTTTGGTTACCATTATCCATTGGACTTCCAATCAGAAGATTGAGGGTTCGAGACAGATGTTTGTTAAACTGCTTGTGTCCTTGGCAAGACACTTTATGTGCATTTGCCTCGCTTCACCCAGGAGAATAAAAGGGTACCTAGTAGGAGGTGAGTTATTTGGAATGAAATTAGTAGTGTTGATTGCACACACAACTAGGAATACTCCTCAGGGAGTGGAGAGGGTTACAGTTGTGTATGATTGATTCTGTACCCAATGACCTAGGAAAAAAAGTGACTTGAGCAATATATAAATCCTCATCATCAATAGTGTTCTGCTAGAAGGCAGGTCCCACAAGAAGTTCTATTCCATCCAGTATTCTCTGTCCTCTGCATCCTTTTTCAACTCGTGGTAACTCTTTCCATTCTGGATATCATCAAGCAGCATTATTCTTTTCCTTCCTCTTGGTCTTTTTCCTTCTACTCTACCTTCTGTTACATCCTTCAAAAGGCTGTTGTGCCGCAATATGTGACTGATCCATCTCTTTTTCCTTTTATTTTGTTTATTTCAACCATCTTTAAAGAGGGTAACCCTTCCAGTTTAGCCCAGTAGGTTAACTGATATTCAGGGATATTCTTTAATAAAATCAAAGAACAGTACAAACAACATCATTACAACATAATAATAATAATAATAATAATAATAATAATAATAATAATAATAATTATTATTATTTGTAAATCCTATGAAATAATAAATAATAACTACAACATTATCTGACACATGCTTAAGAGTGAAGGGTTTACCCATGTCTTTCAAAGTCATGGCGTTTAGAGTTTCTTCGAAGTTAGGTACTGTTTAAATCCAGATTGTTATCGTTAATAATGTTAAACATTTTTATAGTACTCTCATATTTGGTAAATAAATCACTGTGTGAATGAGAAAATAAATTTAAACATTTAAATAAAAATAATATTTTCTATTTAAAAATTCTTTTTGTCCTGTTGAACCATCATTGCACAAAATCAGATTAGATTTACAGTTGTTTTTAGTGTTGTACAGCATTTTGAATTATGATATACAGTACACTAAGGAAATAAGAGACATAGCTCAGAATGTATTACAATGTACATAGATATATGTTTACATTAAAACTACCCATAGGATTTGAGGTTTACTACACAGTAGACTAATTTGATTTTTAAGAGAGCTCCACTGATTGGTCAAAACATAATTTTAATATTGACATTATCAATAGTGTGTGTTTTTCTCTAGATATAGATTTTTACTATTTCATTTTTTTTTTTGACTTGCCATCTTTTGAATTCAGTATATTTGTCTTGTTGATTCCCACAAGACTACATATTGACTAGGCAACTTGGAAAGCAGATGGCAAATACGCCAGAAAACATAGTTAATCAAGACACATGCAGTCATGTAGGAAAGCCAAAGGGAGTCTTGGAATTCAAAAATTGTTTTTACAGCTTGGGAAATTGTGTAAAACACCAGCTACATATGCTGTCAGTATTAATTTCTACATATTTTTTTGTTGTTAGAAAATCCATCTAAAAAGCCATATTCAATATGTTATAAAATAGTAGAGAGGAATTAAAGTGGAATAGAAGATTATTTTGATATCAAAAATTGCTATTTTGAACTTTGTCATCTCTGATGTAATCATAAAAATGTTCATTAAACTCTTTTTATACTGGATGGCATGCTAAATGCAAAGGCACTGATTTTCGTTGTGGTCCAGTTAGAGTAAAATCATAAAAATATAAAAGATAGGAAAATAAAACAAAAAGACTTAATTACTTTCATTCATTTATTCTTTTTCAATTGCTCACCAATTAAAGACATTTTCTCATGCTGTGTATTTCCAAAGCCGCATTAAATCAATCAGTAGTCAAGATCAATGAAGTAAAATCAACTATAAGCAATTTTAGTTGCCTTGTGACATTAGAGTGAATTATGTCTGAATATTCTTAATGTTTTTTTTACATATTATTTTCATGTTTGATTATTCATGTACCGTATATATTCGCATATAAGTCAAAGCTTAATAAAACAGGGTGATGTTATATGCACAACATACAAATATTATATTTTTAAAATTATGTTCGTCTTATGTGCTGATCATCCGTAACACCCCATGCAATTTACTACTGCAATGAAGACACTAAATCTTAGTATGAATGAATGCAATTTTAACATTTAAAAGCTCATAAAATGGTATTATTTGGAAGATAAGCCATGCATTTGACTCCGTTATAGCCAGCTAGATGCAGTATATTAGGACCATAAGAAGCGGAAAAATTAGGAATTCCGACAATGAAACAGGGGGTCGTCTTATACGCCCGACATACAAAAATCATCCAAAAATCTTCTCAATCTCTGGAGTCATCTTATACGCGAGTATATACAGTATATTTTTTGTTATTTTTTATGTTATTGATATTGTTGTTTGTTAAACATATTAGTATGAAATCTCATCTGTGTTGGTATGTTGGGCAAATTGTTATAGTATTGAAAATATTTATGTTAATGTTATTATTTGGCAAAATTCCATGCTCTGTTGATGCACATATAAGCATCCCCTCGATAGATTTCAAGTCATAGTAATGTGATCGTTAATAATTGCTGCATGTTTTTTTGGGGGGATTTTAAATATTAATCTTGTTAGTTTTATTTTCATTATGATTTCTTATTTTGTTATAAAAGGTTTATATACAGCAAGTACCAAATGTGCTAAAAACAAGGGGGCTCACTGTGCTATCTCTACCACCAGAAACATTCAAAAATTGCAATGAAATCAATTATGTTATAGATAAAACTAACCTGACTGTTGCCGGCCACTCATTGCTACCGATGCAATTCTATGGGGAATGCAGTGTCATAATGCTTACCTAATAACTTGTTTTTAATGACGATCTGTTCAGACTTCCACCAACAATCAGGCGGCGTTGCGTGGTATAACGCTGACAGGGAGCGTAGTAGTTGGATCCGTCGGCCAATGGTCATATGACCGTCGTACGGCACAGTGAGTGTTGGGCTTTACTACTACAGTACTTGAAGACTTTGAAGAACACCACAAGTTTTAGCTAAATATATCTACTGTATACTCCCGTATAAGACAAGGCTTAAAATAGCAAATTACAATCGAAATACAGGGGGTCGTCTTATACGCACGACATACAAAACATGTTTGTGCAGATCGTCCGTAACACGCGAATTTACTAAGTAGTAGCAGTACTGCAATGAATCCACCTTAATATTGTTAGTATGAGTGAACGCAATTTTAAATATACGGGGAAGTAAGATTTTATGAATATTTAAAAACTCATAAAATAATATTTGGAAGATTAGCCTTGAATTTGACTCCGTTTTAGCCAGTTAAATGCAGTATCAAGACATTAAAAAGCAGAAAAAGTATGAATTCAACAATGAAACCGGGGGTGGGGGGTCTTATACTATATGCCTGACATACAAAAATAGTCAAAAAAATCTTCTCAAACTCAGGGGTCATCTTATACGTAGGTCGCCTTATATGCAAGTATATACATTAGTATAATTTGCAAGTATCTCAGTATTATTCAAATCGGTTTTTTTATGTTTGTTTGTTAAATTTGGGCAATAAATTATATTCCGATGATGTAAATTGTACTTAGTCATTTTGGCTTCATACAAGTTCCTTTTCATATTTCGAAATGTATAAAGCCAGAAATTTTTTTTTTTTAAATATTTTGTTATTTTGTGTGCAGGAAGCTTTACACAGGGAACAGATGTTGGAGCAGAAATTAGTGATGCTACAGAGAGTGGTGAGGAACACTCAAGACGCATCGGAGAGCAGTTGGCAGGCTCTCATCGATGAAGAGCGATTACTATCACGTTTAGAGTTGCTTGAAAACCAGCTATATGTCTACTCCAAGGTATAAGGAAATCAATATTTTAAAGCTGAAATTTTAACGATGCAATAAATATTTAATGGTTTATGATTTCTCTAAAATGATATGGAGAATGAAAAGAAATTATATAATTTAATTTTTTTTTTCATTGGGATGTATGTATTTTAATCCGCATCAGTGATACATTGCAATCAAATCAAAGTAAAATGATTAAAAAAAAATCAAAATACATAAAATACATACAAGATAATATCATTAGTTTTAAATTTTAACTATAAGGTCAATTATATACCATTTTACAGATTGGTATAAAATTATATAATAATTAACAAAAATATGCATGCAGTCTTGAGATTGTTATCTCCATCAGATCAAAGCATATTTCCAAGAGTTATTTTACAAAGGATTTCCAAAATTTCTAAAATATATTATATAAATGGGGTTTTGAGGAGAAGCAATGAACAACAAGTTATTTTGGTATTTTTTGGTAAATTTTTTTAAACTTTCACCATCTCAAATTGTACTGTACATCATATGCGATAAAAAAAAACCCCACTAAACATAAGCTCTCTGGAATCAAAGCAATTTAAAAAATAATAGAGAAATATATTTTTTTCCAATATATCAATATAATGATTAGAAGTAGATTTTATTCTGATATATATTATTGGCAGTCCTTATCAGCTCTCAGAATATTTAGTGAATAATTATCAAACATGTACACATTATCATTATCAAATACAAAAGCATTGGCTAATGGCCAAGAACCATTTCCCTGTCCAATATTAGTTGTTTTTAATCGCTGTACTTGTTGAAACTAAAGACAGAAGTGTTGGCGATTGCTTCCTTAAATCTTAGTTTCCCAAAATCGGGAGTGACAACATTTTACTGCTAGTAAACTGATTACCATTCTCTTTGTTGTCCTTTCATGTTTTATTTGGTTTTGGTGAGACATTTTTTATGCCTTGTTTTTTGTACTTATTTTTTTAAAGATTATCGGAGGAGGGCGGAATAAAAATAAAATTTTGATTTTTTTTTATTTAGCAAATAGTTTGCCAAAATCATCCAGGCAGAGGAGAAAATAAAAATAAAATTGTATTGGTGAATGTAAAATACGATGATTAAATGCTTCAAATTTATGTAATTAGGAAGAAATATACATATCTTGTCTTTGGCGATTTCAAGGCAAAGGAGGGCGTAATAAAAATAAAGAACTACTTTTATTTTTTTCTGAAATTTGGAATTTTTCGTGGAGGCGGATGCGCAAATTTGCCAAAAATAAAATGTTATTATTATTTTATTGCATTCATAATTATCAACATTTGCAGTCAGGCGGGCTTGCTAAACAAGGTATAAAAATAGTCTCAAACATTGTTTTTCAATTGTATGTAATTGATATCCTGACTGCGGTTAACTGCACACAACCGTTATTTACTCTTTGCCAATTCTTGTGATAATTGTAGGCAAATACCGAGGATAAGATCAGGAAGGAAGTTGTTGCACTTCAGGAGGATAAATTCAACTACGAAAGCACAGCCAAGGATACCCTCAAGAGGGCGCTAGAGGAGAAACTTGAAGCTGTACAGAAACTAGCCAATGTAGAAGTAAGTCATTATCCATATTTAATATGTAATTTAAAGTGGAGTTGAATAGTTTGGTCAGTTAAAATGCTTGCCTTCTAATCCAAAGGTCATGGGTTAGATTCCTGTGATAGCAGGATTTGTTCTCACTGCTAAAACAACTCATAACTAAGCCCTGTAGAAATATCTACTAAGCAGTATAAAGAAGACCATCATCCGTTATACGCTTTCTAGATTTACCAAACAAGAAGATTAATAATTAAATCTGTAAACTGAATTAAAGGGTGTAACAGGCCATTCTAAATTCCTGTCAGTTGGTGTCTAGTGTTGTTCAACCAATGACCAATAGTGTTTACCGACACTAAAACTTCATTCCCGAAGGCACATAACCTGCCATAGTTATAACATAGATCACCTTTTATGGTAAAAATATGGTATAATTACTTATAAATTTGAAAACATACATAACAATATATAACTTTTCTCACAGAAATTATTAAGTAATTCTGAAGATGAACTAAGTAATGCTAAGGAAAATTACGATAAGTTGAAAGAAGAATTAAATGGTGTCTATGATAAACATGCAAACGTGTTGAAAACGTTGCAAGAACTCACAGAGAAAAACCAAGAGACTGATAATAAGCACAAAGAGGACATACAAAAAGTGAATCTTGAAAAAGTTGAACTGGAAAAAAGAATAAGAGAACTAATTAAAGAAGGAAACATGTTAGAGGTGAAAATTGAAGAGTTGGAGGCAGAGAATGACTTCACTCGGGAACAGCTTGCAGCATTACAATGTAAGTCTCACAGCTTTTCGTGTTTGATATTTTGCCATTCTAGAAAGCCTACTTGGTTTGTAATTGTATGCATAGCTTTGGGTCATGGCAAAGAAGTTTCTTTAAATTCTGTGAATCGGACCTGTAACTCGGTTTTTATTTCATGTTTCTTTGCATTTTAATGAATCTTGGTACGGGCTGTGTGTTTCTTTAAATCCTATGAATCAGACCTATCACTCTGTTTTTAATTCATATTTCTTTGCATATATTTCTTTGCATTTTAATGAATCTTAGTACGGGCTGTCGAAACATCCCAGACACAAGAAATAAAGACAGATCTAGTGGAATCTAAGACAAATGGTACAAGTTCACCGACCCCTGTTGTCCCAACAGTTAATGGAAACCCAGATATGAATAATGATACATCAGGTAATAGTTAATTTCTTGAAAACCATTGTCATAATTACTTATTATCAACATGATTGTAAATTTCTTACTATTGTCATCCCCACTATTATTATTGTCATCTTGCCAACCATCCCGGTTATCAACCATTCTTATCATAGTTGCCATAATCATCAGCATCAACATCATCATCAATATTATGATCAATATTGTGATAATGGGCAAAGAACATTAATGAAATTAAAACTTCATATTCACTTTATGAAATCCATATTCCTATCCCATCATCATTAAAAGTATGCCTTTATTGAACATCTTTTGCATTACTGTAAATTCACATCTGGTAATATCATGATAGTATATATACAGTATTTCATATTTTATACATATTTTTCTCATGATTCAACAGAAATAGATCAAATCCTTGATGACTTTGATTTGCATCTAGACAATGAGGTGAAGAGGATGGATGATGATGACACAGACACGCCTAAAGACTCACCTGAAGACATGGATGATGATGACCTTATAACTATCATAGATGACAGATGTAAGTTATATATGCTGGTTATGGCGGTTACAGTGCTGTGGCCTATTGGTTATGGTGCTATAGCATTGTGATTATGTTGCTGTGGCATTGTGGTTATGGTACTGAAACCTGGTGGTTATAGTGCTGTGACCTAGTGGTTATGGTGTCGTTTCTTACTGGTTGTGCTGTAGCCTAGTGGTTATGGTGTCATTTCTTACTGGTTGTGCTGTGGCCTAGTGGTTATGGTGTCATTTCTTACTGGTTGTGCTGTAGCCTAGTGGTTATGGTGTCATTTCTTACTGGTTGTGCTGTGGCCTAGTGGTTATGGTGTCATTTCTTACTGGTTGTGCTGTAGCCTAGTGGTTATGGGGTTGTTTCTTACTGGTTATGGAGCTGTGGCCTAGTGTTTATGAGGTCGTTTCTTACTGGTTGTGGTGCTCTGGCCTAGTGGTTATGGTGTCATTTCTCACTGGTTGTGGTGCTGTGGCCTAGTGGTTATGGTGTCATTTCTTACTGGTTGTTGTGCTATGGCCTAGTGGTTATGGTGTCATTTCTCACTGGTTGTGATGCTGTGGCCTAGTGGTTATTGTGTCGTTTCTTACTGGTTGTGGTGCTGTGGCCTAGTGGTTATGGTGTCGTTTCTTACTGGTTGTGGTGCTGTGGCCTAGTGGTTATGGTGTCGTTTCTTACTGGTTATGGTGCTGTAGCCTAGTGGTCATGGTGTTGTTTCTTACTGGTTATGGTGCTGCCGTTTCTTACTGGTTATGGTGCTATGGCCTGGTGGCTATGTTGTTATATCTTGGTGGTTAAGGTACTGTGACCTAATACTTGTTGTGTATAACCAGTTAATTATCATGCTATGGCTTGATGGTTATTTTGTAAGTTGGCGGTTATGTTGCTACAATGTGGTGTCTGGTGCTGTAACCTGGTGGTTGTGGTGCTGTAGCTTAGTGGTTATGGTGCTGTATCCTTATGGTTAGTGTTTTATGTTGCTATAACCTGGCGGTTTATACTGTATGTTGCTGTAGCCTGGAGTTTGTGTTGCTATAACCATGCTGGGCTGGTATGTATGGTGCTTTAACCTAGAGTTTGGTGCTGTGCCCTTGTGGTTATGTTGCTATAACCTAGTGGTTAAATTGCTATAACCTTATAACCTAGTGGTTATGTTGTACCTGTTGTTATTTTCTTTGCGCTACAGTTGTGACAATATATTTATTAATTGATTTATAGATCGGCAAGAAGTTTTAGTGAATCAAAAGAACACAACACTACGACCTGTGGACCAAGCCACAAATAAAGACCAAAGTAAGTTTGGTTTATTAGCACTTACAAGCTACAGTAGATTATCACTGTCATGTATTTTCAACCACAGGTTTCTTAGACATGACAGATAATTACTGTCTTCCATTTTGTGATATTCACCGTTTACTTATTATTCAGCTAAACATGTACATTTACATTTAACAGTGAAATGAAAGAAAGATCAAATTAGACTAGCAACAAATTTTACAATATTACCTTAGTTGGTTAGGATTGATAATATGAATGGACACTCCTAACTGGAAAACCTGTCAATCTAGTATTAGGAAATAACACAGATATTGATATAAATAAAAATTAAACAAAATAAATAGCAAAACAAATTAAGAGATCAAATAAACTCCTAAAACTATCATAACACAAGGTGAAGTAAAATACAGAGGATTAAGTAAACTTTTAAAAAATCCCTCACTTCCCTACGTAGGGCATACTATGCCTGATTAAATTTGAAAGTTTGTTACTACTTATTTTGATTTTCTTTTCTTTTATTTTCAGAATATGATGATAAAAATCACATAGCAGACACTACCCAGGAGGAAATTACAAAATACAAAGGTAACAGAATTTTGAACTGTAAAGTTCATGTTATATACCTGTGATTTGCCATATTATAATAATTATTATGGAATGCACTACCACATGTATTAAAAGAATCTAGAAATAGAAAATAAAATTTATAATCAATTAAATAAAAATTAAGATATGACGTTTTAAAATGCTCTTAATTTTTACTTCTCTTACATGTATATACCGTAATTAATATTTTGACTTTGTTTACCTTTATTCATTCCTTTTATTGTCTGTAGCTGAAATATTAGCCTCTGAATCCAGAGTAAAAGAGAAGCAGGATAAGATTGATCAACTAACTGCAACATTACAGAGACTTAAAATAGAATCTATTGAAAGTATAACAGAATGTAATGCACTGAAAGGTAAGTACTAGGGTTGTTATTAACCAAGGGTTTATCCAGAAAAACGAAATAGGGCTGTCCAAGATATGCTTTAGTTTAATGAAACATTTGAAAGATTTCGAAGAATATAAAGAATTTGCTAAAGTAGACCAAGCCCAACTAAACTAGACGGAGTTGAGTAGGCCAAGCTGTCATGGTTAAAGTGGCCGCTCTTAAATAATTGTTGGCCATCCAAAAGACAGCCAGATGGTTCGCTGGTTAAGCCCT